CCCGACTCGGTCGCGTGAAACTGAAAACAAACACATTTGTTTTTTAGGAGACTGAGTCGGGCGATCGGCCGATCCCATCCGTAGTGGGCACCCCGTATAAGTGTTTAACCGCTACATTACAGACGCCAGTGAGCAAACCTGAGACTGTTTTCTCATCTTACAGCATATGGTGCCTTGATCAGGAGCTACGTCTCGGGGGCCACCACCATCAAAGAGAGGACTGCAGCGATGGCCAATCTCAACATTAGCTGTACCACAGGTTTTATACTCGGGCCTGGTGAGTTGGTCACGTAATTTGTCTTGTCATACTTTGTCTGCTCAAATAATCCCCAAAAAATAATCATATGAATGCGAGATAAACTAAATTGTTCACCAAAAGACATTCTTGTCATTTCTAGCATTGAGTAGAGGGCGAGGATCTAGGACCTACATCTACACAATGGTGTAGGCTACGTAGCATCGATCTCGTCCAAACCGCGTAAGTAGCAGAAGCGACGTACAACTTATAGAATTAAACACCGTTGGTTCGTTACTTTTGCTCTCTCAAACTCGTAAGAATATTTCGGGTTGTTTTTTTCAAGATATTCCAAGAATTGCATTCGAAGAAGCTTGGCATGTTGTGAAACTTTAAATTATTGACGCCAAATCTTTCAAAACTAGGTATTGAGCAAATATAACGTTTTAATATTGGGGTACAGAGTTGTAAAATGCAATGACGTATGTGTTCTCAGTCAATGTTGAGCACGGAGGGGGGAAAAAGCTAACAAATGTCCAGCTGGTGAAGGAAATAAAGCTCCTCTTGGAAAATAAAAGTAAAAGCAAAATCGACGTGCTTTTGGTTTGTTTTTGTTTTGTTTTGTTTTCACTGCACCAACCTAACAAATATTCCCTGAAAAATCCGACATTATTCAAATACGTACCGACGGGCGTCTGTGGGGTAGCGGTTAGGTGCTTTGTAGTCGATCGCAGGCAACCCGACTTCGATTCCCGAGTGTGGTGAATTTTTTTATCTAGTATCTCAGTCGTTCTGATGGGATGTTGTACCCCTCTCAGCCCAGGTTGACCCCGACAAGCATAGTTGAAGCCCGCCTCCTAAATCATTGATTTGTGTCGATGCGGGCGTAAAACACCTACATTCATACTTACCTGACTAACAGTTAATGTTCCTTATTTTCCCTTCTGCACAGCCCTCCAGGCTGTTCTAGTCTTGCTGAAATACCCTGGTCCCATAGAGTCCGCGGCCTTCCATCTCAACATGTATACTTGCCCTACCCTCATCGCCGCCCTGTCTTCTCTTGTCAGCATCGTTCTCCTCTGTGCCGTCTTCAAGAGCCACCCCGTGAGTTCTGGCTTCTGTGGTGAGGACAACGAAAGTTTCGCCAGTATTCAGGTGGATGGTGAGATCGTGAGGCAAATACACATCTTTCTGTTCTTTATGAAAGGAAAAGTCGCACTGTCACCTCTTTGTTTGATTATTGTGATAACGATACATGTAATAATAATGGTACTATTAACTGTAATAACAATACCGACAACATTATAATAATGATACATCTTTCAACAACAACAACAACAACAACAACAACAACAACAACAACA